GAATTCTTGGAGTATATCCAGTATAAATGATAAAAATCCTTTCCTTGTTTGCTGCCGAGGGAATCGGTTTCTGCTACGTATGCTGGTGTGTTTTCCTACAGTGCTACAAGTCGGCATTTCTTCAAGACAAAACTGCACCTTGGGAAGAGCAACTCTTCAGGCAACTGGAAAGTGAAGTGGCTGGGAGAGCTCAAGGGCATCGCTGCCGAACACAGCAGCCTGCTTGTCAAGGTTAGGCAGCTGCATTACATCCTCCTGAGCAGGAAAAGATTAAATTGGCTGGCTCCCTCTTTATTTTTTGCCTATCACTTCTATTAACATCAACCGCGCGCGCAAATGGTGCTAACGGCTTTGAAATATAAGAAAGACGTTTTTACACCAAAAAGGCTTCCTACAAATAATCCTGTAGACTTCTCAATGGACAGGACGTGCTAAAGGTGCTTCCCATTCAAAAGAAACAAACAAATTTTTTTTTTTTTTCAAAAAAACGGGATTTAAAAGCTCCTGTATGAAGTGCTATTTTTAAGAGAAGGGCCTCGAAGCTCTGCAGCTCTGGAGACCATCCCCAGCCTGCCTCCACCGCTGGGCGCTCCTGTCCACTACCGCACCAGGGCTCACCCGCATGTTTAAGGAAGAAAAAAGGTCAGGATTAATAAAGAGAACAAAACACCAACAAGAATTAGATACTGTCAGCAGAAGCAAAGCTGAAATGGATGATGATGTTCTTTCCCTCCTCCTCATCACCACCCCACCACCACCTAAGATGCACTTTCTGCAGATCACTGCAATATGCTGAGCCGTGGGAACAAAACCCCCTCCGAAATCACACTCACATCTCCCAGAGATGTTGTCCACCACACCCCCTGCATGACTGGCTCCTGGGCCCAGAGGCTGGACGGGCAAGCAGGCCACCACCTCTCTCCTCACCCCTGGCAGCACCAGGCTGCAAGATTGGGCTTGTTCTGCAGCACCCTACAGGGTGCACCCTCCAACAGGGCCTGCGAGCCAGACGGATCCTCCCGCAATCACCTCTCTTTTCTGACATGCTTTTATTTCCCAGATCCTTGCTGGACCAAGAAAAAGTGCAGTTAAAAGGCTGAGGCATTTGGGTC